ATCAGAATCTTGCTCATATACTTTACTTTTGCGCCTCTCTTCATGGGGTATCTGAAGTACATTGCTTTAATATGTTTGGAACTTTTAGCTTGTGAAGTGTAATGACTATATCCGAGTACTGTTTCCATTTACACCGACAAAATTGAATGGCATTACCAAGTCAGCAAGCTTTTTCGCGAGAATCCACTGAATCGCACATAGACGGTATTGCACTGGCCGAAGACGTAGATAGTGACTAGAATTTTATCGATGGTCCAAGACTAATAGAGGAGAGACTACAGTAAAACTGACCTTAGAATCTTTCTAACTGCTGATGTCAAGGTTGCTCCCTTCAGAGGGTGTCCCTCCTTATCCACCCATTCTTTCTTCAGGAAACCCAAGGTGTACCGAGCTTGAACAGAAGTTTGACAGTAAAAAAAAGAACCTCTCTAAAGGTTTTATCGTAGAAATTGCTAATCATTGCAAACCACTTCTTAAAGAAAGCCAGGAAATAGTAAAAAAAAAACACCAGCGTAAACAAATGACCGACCCATTTTATTACTGAGCTCTTCAGATGGTGCACGTAGGACTGAGATACAGCCAAGCAAAGCTATTGCCACTCCCACATTCGGCACCTGCTCACATACGTCGACTAAATATCCATAAACGCTAACTTCTGCTTCACTTCCTGCGCTTCTCTGAATCATATGATAGTTAGTAGTCCGCTGCTGTACATGGAAAGTCAGACCTCGCCATCCTCTTGTAAAATACAGTGTTCAATAATTCCCATCAATTTATCACGGCGACTCTTTTTTCTGGATGATACCGTATCGGAATCGCTCGGTAGGGTAGTTATATGGTTCCTGTAAAGTCGTAGGAACAAATGTAGACTTATTCATCATCCAAACAATACAAAAAGAAAGAAAGTAGAAAGACTCGAGTCCGTGATGTTCGAAAGGTAATTCAGGATGCTAATGATCGAATTCTACGAATTAAACCCTTGAAGTAAAATGTTGCAGTAAGGGAAGCAAATAGCAAACGATCAACGTATTTTCAGAAAAGTAGCAGTCACTGGGACAGTAAGAGAGGAGGAGTCATTAAGAAATCACCTACCACGAGAACAAATGCTCTGATGTCGCCAAACAGAGTCGAAACAAGTTGGAAAGTTGATCAACAACCTAAACTCTTATCGGAACGCCATACTTCTAATTGCAGAAAATAAACGCCCGAAACAAACGAATCACTCACATCAGCTTCATTTGTCACGACTGCCGACGAATTCATAAAATCACGGAAGTACGATACTGTCTTCGAAAATGTGCTC